GGCCAGTTCCCGGGGGCACCTGCCAGCTCAGACGGACATGCCGTCCTGGTGACCAAGACGTGGTGTAATCCATGTGGAACCTCCTAAGAAAAGACGGTGGAGTAGGGCAAGGCAGCGGAGAAGGTCCCCGCTCTGCTCTGCAGGGGAGCAGAGCTCTCCTCCAAGACGCACATCCACGGAGTCCCGCAGAAGAGCCCCCGCCCTGCCACGTGGCACCGTGGCCGGCGTGACATGCTCTGTCGCTACTGGGACAAGGGCATGTTCTCCCTGGAGAGAATGACAGGTGCGTGTGTCACACACCACCTTTCTCTTGCCGACAGCTAGGCTACAGCTGTACTTCAAGGAGGGCCTCCAGGAGCACGGCGGGGGCCAGCAGTGAGGCGCCGCGTCGCTGCCTGGGTGCTGGCTCCCCGGCGCTGGCAGCAACCAGGGGGCTGCGGAACCGTCTCCCCGCCGCGGGGGAAGCCAGCACGTGCCAGAAAGAGGGCTCGTTGAGATGGGAAGTTGCGAAGGAAGGAACAGGGACGTCACCGCCTCCACTGTCTGGCCTCTCTTCACCACGATGCCGCCTTCTCCGCGCACAGAGCCAGCCCGGCGCCGCAGAGCTCGCCCTGACGGTGACAGCGAGGCTGCCAGCCTCGGGCTTCTCTCCCCCGGGCTCAGACAGGACGCGGGGACAAGCGCTCCCAGGGAAGGCAAGTGTCACTGGATTGCTGCCTCGGACTGCAACGCTGTCCCTCAGAACGCCAGCCCCACCTCAGCGATGGCCGAGGGCTTTGTCCCGAGCAGACAGGCATCCTGGCTGTATTTTCGTTATTGAGTATTGATCCTGTCTTATTTTATTGTTGATACTAGTTTTCAGGATCAGCCCAGGTGGGCACAAAGCAAGCCCATAATTAGCTGTTGGGGCTGTGCGCCCGTCATTAACCGATGGGAATGGCTGTGCAGCCAGTCGGGAGCAGGAGTCTAGGGTGGAGTGAGGGAAGAGCCCCGCCCCCGCACCTGCCCCGTGTCTCCATCTGCACCTGCCCGCCCTGCCCTGCTGCTCTCCGGCACCGGCACAGCCGAGGGAACCGGCTGGCTGGAACTCTGGAGAACTGAGTGCACCAGGGGTGGACCCAAGAAGCGCAGCCTCTTTTCCTTCTAAGGAGGAAAGCAGTGCCCTAACCTTTAACACAGTGAATGGAGACCAAGGTTTCCGCAAAGGGAGCCGTGCGATGGGTCTCCGTGGCCCCTCATCTGCACACCAGAGAACATGAGACGGAAAGGGTCTTCTGTAAGTCAGTTCCCTGGACATTGGAAGACGCAGGGCTCTGGGCGGAAGCACCCTCATGGGATGAGAGCAGAGCCCTGTCTCGGGTCTGGGTACCAGAGGGCGACAGAACCAGCAGATGCAGCATTAAACCACGACTCCAGGCTCCGGGACTGGCTCAGTCCTCAGAGGACCGAGAAGACGTCGTCTGTGGGCTGGGTCGGAGGACCCCTCTGTAGGCTGGCCCTTCTGTGTTCAGATGGTCTCCTCTGGAAAGTATTGCAGTGGTCCTTAGCCGAAAGCCACTGTCTTCTGACCTCACCTGCGTGACCTGGTGTGTGAGGGATGACGAGGTCCTGGCCAAAGGTGACCATCAGGGCTGCTCGTCTTGTATCCCACGAGGAAAGGATGGGGCCAGAGGTGCCATTCATGACCAGGAAGGAGAAGGATTGAGTGAGAGGCACGTACGGAGTGGTGGTGCCCAGAGTCAAGACTCAAAACGATGCTAGAGAACATAAAACTTGGCCCAGAACAAACACAGAAGCAGGAAACGGGGTTGTTCCTCATTCTGGCCCCTTTGCAATAGTGCAGTGGTGTGGGTGGTCTGGGGACAGGGGCCTGCTTGCCCACCCTGGTCTCTCCCTGACCAGCAAGGCTGGAGTCAGTCTCCAGGGGAGCCAGCTCAGACCCCACAGCAGCCAGCCCAGCCCTGACACTAGTGGGGGGCCTTCATCAAGCCTCCCCACAGAGGCCACTCCCACCTGGGATGAGCCACGTGACAGCAGAAAGCTCTGTGGCCCAAACCAGACGGAACTGGGACACAGCATCGCTCTGCACACGGCACTCCTGGTGGGCCAGCCACACGCCTTCCGTGCCCGGTAGACACTGGCAGGCCAGAAGGCCAGTCCAGTTTCCCCATGGCTCCAAATGGCCCAGGGGCAAGTGGCTGCATCTGCCCGCTGGTGCTCAGGGCTGCTTCCGCCATCTGACTGATAAATGGCCTGCGGGCCAGTCGGGGCCACCATCCATCTGAGCGCGCTCTCTGAGCCCTGCCTGGGACAGCTGCTCTGTTAGTCAGCACAAGCAAGTGACGCCTCGTAACAAACATCCCCAGCGTCTCAGGGGCTGCAAACAGTTCCACTCCTGCTCGCTCGTTCCTGGGCAGCTCTCCCAGGTGGCGACACTGAGAGACAGGCTGCTTTGATCTTCTGATCCTGAATTTCAGCACCAGGCCTCCACCATGCTCCAGGGAAGAAGGAGACAGGAGAGCCTTGCACAGTGCTGCTCTCAGCCCACCGCACAGGACCGGGGAAGGGGGCTGGCGGGCAGTCTCCTGCAAGCTGTGGGGAGCAGGGCCAGGACATCAGTGGGCACTGGCAATGCCCATCGCATGCACCGAACACCCAGATGTCTTTACTTTTGTAGATCAGAGGTTGCCAAGGTTTTTCATGTTTACTAGTAAAGAGCTCTTTACTATCCTGAGCACATGTCCCAAATAGTGTCCACTTATTTATAAATTATTAGCACATATCCCCATGCTACTATAATAGAATGTATGTTATATAACTAGCTTTGGGAAGATGTTTAGAAGGATAAGATAAAGACAAAAGTTCGAGGTGTTTTGTTGACCTCGGAAGCATCACACCGTCAGTTATGGCCGCAAAGCAAGATAAATACCTTGAGGGACGTCCGTCACCAGTGATGATGGATAGAAATTCACCTTCCCCTCTTTGAAATATTTTTCTTAAGCATTTGAGTTTGGAGGGGTTGATTGCTTATCTGATCAGATTATCATTGTTTCTTCACTTTGAAAAAGTAGGACCCCGCTTCCCCACCCCCCTCCATGGTCAGGAGCAGCGGACACACGGAAAGGGCGTGGCTGGCTCGCTGCACCCTTTCCACATGCTTACGGGGTGAGGGCCCCCCCGGCTCACATCGGCAGTGCCTGTAAACAGAGCCTCCCACACGTGTCCCACCACAGTGGCTCCTTCCACGCCCCGGGGGATGGTCACCGCCCCGTGGTGGGCCTTGTCTCCATGGGGGGCTCTGCGGGTGTGGGGGGAACCTCTCAGGATCTGCGCTGCCCCTTTAAGAAGCCATGGCCCCTCCCACCCCCCCCACACCCCCAACTCACACTTCACAGCCATCCGGCCTCCCCAGGGCAGCCCAGCCCCTGAAGGGGTCCCATCTCGGGCTGTCCCACTGTCCTCTTGTCTAGACTCACAGACTCTCCAAGAGCTCAGGTTCACAGCCACGTTCTCTACCAGCTGGTGACTGGCGGGAGGCGTCTCAGAGACACCTGGAGCCACTGCCCAGCGAGAAAAGTCCTGACAAAGAACGACCGCTCCGTCTTCCTCCTGGTGGGCCAGACTCTCACCCCTTAGAAGGAACACCGACCACCGGTGCATTCTTAGCAGAGAAGTGGAGACCCCAGCTTCAGGCCTGCTTTTCAGCCAACCCTGGTCTGTTCACTTCATACGTCCACACGCTCCTGATTGTTTCAGATTTTTTCATTTGAGCCAGGTAAGAACTCCAAGGTTCCTTTCCTGTGCTATTAATTTAGAGTCGTTTATATGTGTCCTAGCCCCAGGGCAGCAAACTAAACCTGTAAGGAGATGATTTTGCACCCGCTGGACTGGCGGGAATTTGAAAGTACTGAATCCCAAGTGTTGAACAAGAGGTGAAGCAGAGAGAGCCCCGCTGTGCCACCTGCGGGCTTTTATAACGTGAAACAAGTCTTTTTAAAAAGCCGAAGATGCCCCCAAGCACAGTGATTTGTCCTTCAGACGTAAATGCTAGGAAAGTTCTTGTACAGGAGCGTAAAATCACTACTGGAGAGCTCGCTCAAAGGCGTGCATTGAGCGCCTGCTTTGCACCAGGCCCTGCTCGAGGGTCTACGAACAGAGCAGGAAACAAAACAGCGTCCTGCTGTCACCAAGCTTACAGTCTGGAGGGTGGGCGCTGAAAACGAAGAGGGAAAAAATACACCATGAGAATGGGCTGCCTGGTGGCCACCCCCCTACACACAAAGACCCGTCCATCTCCTGAGCCGTTGAACCTGTGAGAAAGGATCTTTGCAGATGCAGTAAGTTAAGGACCTCAAGATGAGCTCATCCTGGCTAAGGGTGGGCTCTAAGTTCAATGACAAGTGTCTTTTAAGGGGCGGAAGAGATGACACAGACATAGAAGGAGGAAGGAATGGGAAGACGCTGGCTGAGACCGGGGGGTGCGGCCACAAGCTGAGGGCTCCTGGAGCAACCAGACCCCGGAGAGGCGGGAAGGCTCCTTCCCTGGACCCTTGCAGGGAGCATGGCCCTGCGGACACCTTGATTTCAGACCCCTAGCCGCCAGAACGTTTGTCCTCTTAAGCCACTAGGTTTGTGGTAATTCCTCACAGCAGTCACAGGAATCTAACACAAGCATAAAGACATTAACTAAAGTGAAAGGGATGAAGGAGGACAGCGGTGCAGGGTGACAGGAGGAGGACCAGGGAAGGCCATCTGGGAGGTGACTTCCCAGAAGGAGCCGGAAGGAAATCGGGGAGTGACCCGTGGAAGGGCTGGCGTAAGAGCGGCACGGGCATCGGGTCCGTAGGTGCAAAGGCCCTGAGACAGGTGCTTGCTTGACATGTTCAAGGAAGAGCCAGGAGGTGAGAGGGGCTGGAGTGGAGGTGGTGGGGTCACAGGGAACGAGGTGGGGGCAGCGCAGGAGTGAGCTCACATCGGGTCCTGTGGGCGGGACGAATGCGACGCTTCGTGGACGGAGGAGAAGCGTAGCTCTGAGGCTCATCAGGGTGAGGGGCCTCGGGGCCTCGGGGCCTCTGAGCAGAGGGGGTAGCAGGCTGGTAAATCCTTAAATCTGACTTTCAGCCGGAGGCCCGCGCTAGGCAGGGTCACTGGGGCCTTCGGCACAGGACGTTTAAAGCCCAGGGGCTGGCTTGTTTGAAAAGCAAAACAAAACAGAACAAAACCGAAAACAAAAAAGCCCACTGTTGACAGCATCCGGCCATGAGGAAGCACCCAGTTGTCCGCCCACAGGAAGGTCAAGCTCCCACCGCTGTGTCATTAGACGGACGTTAACCTCCTGGCCTGAAAAAATAAGCATTGCTTTCACCTGCTACTCAGATGAGGGTTTTGGTTGTTGTTTGTTTGTTTGTTTTTTGCTTCTAGGGGAGAGATAAGTCAGGGCGGTGCTATGCTATTTTAAGGAGCTTATGCTCTTTAAGGTCGCTCCCCGAAAGTCACTTCCTGGGACCGACAACTGTCTAGGGTCAGAGGAACCCTAAATTCAGTGCTGAAAACGCCACGCGCTGGTAGAGAAGCCTGGAGAAGG